AATAACTTGGACAAATTCTCCCATAGATTTGAAATATTTCTATAGGAGATTTGTCTAAGTTATTTATACATGTCTAAGGAATTATTTTTGTAAAAAACATATATATAGTTTAGTTTTTGCCTAAGATATTTGTAAAAATAATTTAGACAAATTCTCCCATAGATTTGAAATATTTCTATAAGAGATTTGTCTAAGTTATTTATACATGTCTTAGGAATATTTTTTTTCATGACATTCTTTTGGTGGTAAATGGGATGTAATGGTTAAAGTTGACCTTCTTTGGTCGTAGTGTAGAAGTAAATATTGGTCTCGAAGTGGTAGTAAATCTAGATATAATTTTATTGGTCGTAAAGTAAAAGTAAAAATTAGTCCCCAAGTGGTCGTAAACCTTGATAGAATCTAATTGGTCGTAATGTCGTCACTAGTAGTCCCGAAGTGGTCGTAACACGTGGTCCCTAACTGGTGGTAATGTGATTTTGGTCGTAATCTAGAAGTAGCTTACGACCACATTACTACCACAGGTAAATCCCTATATAAACTCGACGAACAGAGCTCACTTCGTCGTTCACAAGTACTCTCTCACTAGCAACCACTTTCCCTCTCCTCAGGTATGTTTTTTTTTTTTCGGTTTTATGTTTTAGTTTAGGTGGTAATTAGTTTAGGTGGTAATTAGTTTAGGTGGTTAGTTTAGGTGGTAATTAGATTAGGTTTGGAATTGATTTAGCACGGGATTATATTATTTATATTAAATAATTAGTATTTAATTACTTTTAAAATTATTTTGGAATTAAGTTTAGTTGGTTAGTTTAGGTGGTAATTAATTAGATTAGGTGGAATTGATTTAGCACGGGATTAGAATATTTATATTAAATAATTAGTATTTAATTATTTTAATTTTAAAATTATTTTGGAATTAATTGTTCTAATCATAATTTTATTTGAATATGTAGATATGGCCGGGAGAAAGAGATTAAGAAACCACGCAGCGAGAAGCCAAAATGCTTCTTACGGCGAAACATTTCTCGGTTCGTCGTCATCGGATCCATCAGCTAGCAGCTCTGGCACAGCCCGGGAGTTTGTCGTCCCAGAGACCGCAGCCCAAGGCACTCAACCAACTTATATGCCTCCTCCTTCGTTTGTGCCACCGCAGCAGCCTCTTCAGTTTGACGTGCCTCCATATTATCCGCAGCAGGATCATGATCATCAGCAGTATCATGATCATCATCTGCAGCAGCATCATTATCATCAGCAGCAGCAACATCATGATCATCATCAGCAGCCGCAGCATCATGATCAGCAGCAGCAGCATCATCAGCAGCAGCAGCAGCATCATGCGCAGCAGCAGCATCATGTCCCTCCTCCAGTCCATGAAGCTGCTCCGCCTCCTCCTCCGGGTGTCCATCCGGATTTGCTTGTGCCACCGGATGCTCCCTACGCTAGATACACGGTGGAAGATCTTCTCCAAATGCCGGGACGAGAAGGTTTACCCATCATCGATCCAGATAGACCACCAAACACTTTCTGGTAATTTTAATTATAATTTTTCCATATATTTATATGAAATTTTCATTACATATATTTTCATCTTAACATTCATGAATTTTCATTTTTTTGTAGGTTTCCAACAGATAATCGCTTGGGACGGAGCGTCGCAAACATCATAAGGTCGAACTTCCGGGAGCCTCATCCGAACTGGTCCCTTACACCGGACCACGTTCGGAGGACTTGGTTCAAATGTTTTGTGGTAAGTTATTTTATTTCTTAATTAAATAAATTTATTTCACTTTTTAATTTCATTAAATTATTTCTCATTTTAATTATTTTTCGCAGCAAAAATGGAACTGGTCTATTGCGGTCAACGAGACAGTGAAGGAAGGGTTTTACGAGAAGGCGCAAGAACGCCTTAAGAATATTGTGGGCGATTGGAAAGATAAGTGGAGGTTTGATCCCGATGTCAGAAAATGTAAACCGACCTACATCAGCGATCACGTTTGGAATGGCTTGACGGCTTATTGGAGTCTGCAGAAGTCAGTTAAGAATTCGGCCCGTTGCTCCAACAACCGTATGGCGCGTGATGCTGAGGGTAATTTGGTCGTTGTGCCCCACACTTCTGGACAGACTTCTGACGCAGGGAAAGCTCTACAAATTGTAAGTACAAGCTTTTGTAAATGTTTTTTTTTTAATTTTTAATTTGTTTTTACCTTTTTAATAATTAAATTGTTTTATAATTGATATATTAATTAATTAGTTTAATATATTTAATTATGTTGTTCTGTAGGCTGCGGTGGAAGGAGCACCACCGTCTCTTGCCCGACTTTACAAGTTGACCCATCAGCGTTCTGACGGGACGTTTGTAGATCCTCGTGCAGAAAAGATCTACAACGATGTTGAGGAGCAGATTCAGGAGTTCCAGACTTAGTTGACGTTGGAACAAGGGGAACCCGTTCAGTTATCCATCGTTGAACAAGACAAAATTTTTGAGAAGGTAATTAATTATTATTCGATTTTATAATTAATTATGTATATAGTAATTAATTTAATTAATTTAAATTTTTTAAAATGAAGGTTATCCCGAAGAAGAGGGGACGGATGATCGGGATCAGTACGGTGAACGATGTCCCGAGGGCTAGAGCTGAATACGCTACAAGACAACAAGAAGAATCTCAGCAGCTCCGAACCGATTTGACAACCGACAACCAAGTCATTTCGACCCTCCAGACGGACAACGAGGCCAACATGAACCACATTAGGGCCATGGCGGAGATGTTCGATGTTATGGCGGAAACAAACCCAGCCCTTGCGGAATTGTGGAGACCTCGACGTTCAACGATCTATCCCAACCTAACTCCAGAAGAATGAGCAAATGCAGAGCGAGGAGTCGATGAACATAGCACCGACTTTTTCGCAGACATTAATCTTAATAATTAATTAGTTTTCTTATGTAATTTGAATATATATTTTTATTATGTTTTGGATATATTAAGTTAAATTTCTTTTCGAAATGAATGATTTTTAATTAAATATTAAATTTCGTAAATTAAATATTTTAAATTTGTGGATTTTAAAAGTGAAATTTTATTATATTTCTAGAGGTTATTTGGTCGTATTAAATAAATCAAATTGAAGTTATCTGGTCGTACATTTTACGACCAAGTTGTGTCTATTATTCAAGAGTCGAGGTTATGTGGTCGTACACGTTACCTCGATTTAAATACTATTTTATGTCGAGATTGACTTCTACTTTACGACCAACTTTTACGACCAACTAACGTCTAACTGATTGGACGTAACTTTACGTCAAATCCACATCTAGAGTACGACTACTTTATTTACGTTTGTGTTACGACCAATATCTTTAGTCGTAATAATTAAGTCCACATTACGACCAAAACTTTATTACGACGGGCTGGTTTCGACTAAACGCGTTTCGTTGTTGTGTGGTCGTAAAAGTCTATTTACGACCAAATTACCTCTATTTCTGTGGTCGTTATGCCCGCGTTTTCTTGTATTGTTTAGACTCTTTTAAGTATCCTGAATCTATTCTATTAAGATAGGATTTTCTAGAGTTTAATGATAGCTTAATCTAGGGATCTATAGTAAGTATATATTAACTCGCACATAAAGTTTAACTAGCCGCGTCAATCGATACTCCCATTGGAAATCGATCGACACTGTGAGAAGTGAATTGATCGACACTGCTACTGACCGAGCACTCTTGTTTGGGTCAATAGATCTAGTTAGTAGACTTATTCAGTAAAGCGAATGCCTAATAAATTTGTTATTTAAGTAGTTAACCTCTTCAATACCATGCATACAACTAATTCGGACCTCTAACTTTATAATCTCCAATACCTGAATAAAACCCCTAATTCTAACTCATTTTCAACTAAGTTTTAACCCTCAATCTATTTAGTGGAAAAACTACCTTTCTCAATTAGGATTATTTCTATTTACTATTAATCTCATACTCCAATTTACTTTAATTCAACCTAGATTTATTACTTGATTAGATTTATTTGGTTCCCTAGCTCCTTGTGTATTCGAACCCTAGGTACTACAACTGATCTCTTGTTTGAGAGAGTAAGTCACTCCAAATATTTGAGTGATATCATGCAACTTGCGGTTCATGATTGTGCATAGAGATGGCAATTGGGCTCTTCCGTCCCGTCCCGTCCCAGACCGCTGCGGGTTCGTCATTTTGCGGGTCAGAGCGGGCCTGTCCCGCGCGGGATGCGGTTTCCAATATACCGGCCCAGTCCCGTACCGCCAGTTCTTTCAAGACTTTGCGGGCTGGCCCGCGGGACATCAGATGTTACACACAAATGGTCCATCTGCTTCTCCCTACAAGCCAAACATAAACAAAAAGTCTATATTAACATCTCATTCAAACTCTGAACCATAGAGTTTAATATTTTCTCTCATCCATTAGCTATATACAGATTTTTTTCATGCTCTTAATTTGTTACTCTTAAGTACAATTAGGGAAAGAATGTTAGTACTTTCCAAACTAAGCATGAATGGGCTTTCTACCACAGAGATGTAAGAATCTTTCAGAAATATAAGTTTAGAGAAACCTTCTCAAAATTCCTTGGATGCATGGCAGGTACTGTGTTCCTTCCGGACAGAGGGGAATGAGCAGACCCTGATCCTGAAGTATCAGGTAAGAAATGGGCAAACTCCGCAAGCAGATCTTCATGGTCCTGAAATAACAGAGTAACCTGCACAACAAATGAAAATCATAAGAGACAAAAGTGATAGGCACAAAAGGTAAAGCAAATAAAAGAATTTGCTCATTAACTTAGCACATACCTCTTGATATAC